TCCCAATATTCTTTAGAAAACCATTTTTGGGCTATTTTAGCCTCTAATATGCTTTAAATTAAGGACTTCATTATCAGTGATCTTTTTAAAACTAAAATCTTAAGGTTAAGTGTTCAAAGGCAGCACAGTTTATAATTCTCACATTTTACTATTCTATATATTTAATAGGATTTTAACATTTCTCTTTCTATTCACTAAATTGTATTTTTTTATATTTATGGCTTCCATAGTTGGGTTCTATTAAATCAAGGAGGTGATGAAAGAGAGAGGAAGAGGTCTCCATACCCAAGTTACACTACAGTCATCTTACAATGTTAGGGCTTCTAAAAATCCCCAGCTGTGTAGACAAGAGGCGTGATTGCATTTCACAGCTGTCAATTTCAAATCTCATGCCTTTCCCACCAGTTGCCTCCCACCAGCTTCCTTTTTAAGAATATATGTAAATTTATAGCATAGTTAAGAGAAAAAAATATAAATGCCCCCACTTCAAACATCCTCAGAAATTCTACATGAATTATATCAGTTTTTTTCTTTGAAGGCATAGAAATTGAATATGAAAAATTTATAAAAGTAATTATAGCCAAAATACTAATACTAACATTTTCTATTTATTCTTTCTGATAAATACTTAAGGACTCTAGGCACCTTCTTTGGCATTGTTCTAAGCACCAAGAGTCCATCAGCAGACAAGGTAAGCATGTTTTTTCCTTCAAGGAGCCTGTGCTATAGTGGTAATAAAATAGGGTAAGAAGAAGAAAACAGAATGAAGAGGGAAAGCGGGGCAAAGCAAAAGAGGCCCAACTTTAGAGGTTTTCAAAAGAAGAAAGGAAAGAGGCAGACACCTTGCATAGTGATGGGGAGACCAACCACATGAATACCAAATTTACATCTACATGAGACACGAGCCAACTGTTTACATGTGCAAAGTGCTATGGTTGGGTGTGGTTTGTCCCTACAGGTATGTGTGTTGGAAACTTAGTCTCAGTGAGGTGATGGAAAATGGTGTGAAATCTTTTGGAGGTAGGAGTGATGTCCTCATGTGGGACTGTGAGACCCTGTTGATCTCTAGCTTCTTGCATCAACATCATCACTTGCATCCACACATGCTCCAACCATTGATCCATCCACCATGACGTGATGCACAGAAGGAGCCCTCACTATAACAGAGATGATGCACATGCCACGATAGTGAACCTCTGAAATTGGGAGCTAAATAAACTGATTTATGAATGGCTTTGCCTCAAAAATTTTGTTGACGTAACAAAATCTGAGTAACACAGTAAGTACACTAATATCTATCTTATAGATTTTTTTTCAGAAAATCAATTACAAAACATAAAGAAAATATGAATAGATTGAAGTGTATGGTGAGCAGATTTCTGGAGAAACTTCACAAAGGTGTACTATTTTAATGCACAGGACATGTAGATAATATATATATATATATGCAATATATGTACAACATACTCTATTATGTAGGATGTGTGGATATATTAAACTATCATTCTTAGGATTACGTATCTGCTACCACTACCCAGAACATTGAGGCATTATCAGGGTCCCTGTTTGAACTTGAGCCACTAAAAGCAGAGAGCTCTCTCTGACTGGTGGCTAAAGGGGATGTTAGGAATGTAAACCATGAGGAGTTGACATGCTATCATGGTTCTGAAGGAAACATGGATTAGAGAGACTCCTAGTATTGATAGTACTCAACAACTGGCCAGGAAATAGATAATTCATGTCTCTTAGAACCAGGACTTGAATTCTGCCAACATCCTGAATAATTGTATGAGCATTATTACCCAGTGCCCCTAGATCAGAGATCAAATCAGGCCTGGTGATTGTGGTCCTATAATCCCAGCTGCTCTACTAGGGAGTCTGAGACAGGAAGATCACAAGTTCAAGGATTGACAGGGCTACGGAGTAAGTTCAAATCCACCCAGGCAATTAGTAAGAACTTGTCCCCAAATAAAAAAGTATAAGGAGGAAAAGAGAGATAGAGCATTGGTAGAGTGCTTTCCAACCATTAGAGGTCCTAGGTTTAATCTTCAGTTCCAAGCAGACACACAAAATTCCACTTGGCTGGCATGTGCCCCATAGGCTGGAGCATTTAAACAGTTGGTCTCCGCTTGGTGGCACTGTTTCAGGAGGTTATGTAATCTTCAAGAGGTATAGTCTTGCTGAAGACTGATGTCACTGATGTCACTGGGGGTGTGCTTTGAAGTTTTATAGCCTTACCCTTCTTCCTGCACCCCCACGCTCTGCTTTCTGCATGTGGACAAAATGTTACTGACAGGCTTGTTCCTGCTGCCATGCCTCCCTTTTACCGCACCTTCCTGGCCACTATGGACTCTTCATCTGAAACCTTAAGTCAAAATAAACTTTTTCTTCTGTAAGTTGCTTTTAATCATGGTATTTCACCATAGTGATAAAAAAATAACCAATATGGCTAGTGTGATATCATGGGCATAGAACTAGTCAAGCACCTTGAACTTCTGACCTAGAGAACCCAAACCATGGGTATTGTTTTAAGCCATTACGTTTGTGGCATTGATTATGTAGCAACAGAACCATAAGAGACCTGAAGAGAATATGAAATGAGATCTAAGGTCAGCTATACTGTCATCAAGCTATGGGGGTTTTGAGAAAGGTGGTAAGTAGGAGGAGGAAGGGAAGAAGGAAAGGGAGACAGAAAGGGACAGGGAGGGAGAGGAACAGGAAAAGGGAGGGGGGAGAGAAGGGAAGAAAGAGAGAGACTGATTTTTTTTATATCTTGTAAGTTTTGAAAAGGTAGAATTTAACTTTCATAGTTGTGTAATGTTTTTATTTGCTAAATCTAACATTTCTGTCAATTCTGTTAGAAAGATTGCTTTTTTCCATTATTATTCATTGCAGTTTTCTACATCTTTTGCATTCTTGGTAATTTTTTATTGGAGATTCAACACTGTGAATTTTATCTTTTTGGCTACTGAATATACTTGTCTTCCTATAAATATTCTTCAGTTTTTTCTTGGATCCAGTTAAATTAATTGAAAACAGTTTGTTTTTTTGGGGGGGGGTGCTGCTTTTAAGATTTATTAGGCAAGACAAATGTAGTATCCATCTAGATCTAATTATTCATAACTACTGAGCCAGGCCTGTTCTGTGCGTTCTTCAGTGCCATGTGAATCATGAGATGTTGTGTCTGGCTCATGACCGCTCCACAGGGGCAGTGGGCAATGATACCTCTAATTCATTAAGATGGGGATATTCCAGCTTTGCCTCATTTCACTCATGTGTGCACCTCTCAGGGCTCAGCTACAGACTACTGAAGACACTACAGATAAATCTTTAGAATTCTACTTCTGTGTAGTGCTCTCTCTCATCCTTGGTCCTGTGAGCTCTGGTTCCTCAATTCTTGGAGTCTTTCAGGCTCTACCTGGGTTCCTGTTCCTAAGACTTAGCCTGGAACCCCTCAGGACAGTAGGCCTAAGTATCCCTGAAGCTCTTCTCGTGGCTTCCCTAATCTCTTGGGGTCCTCTCATTCTCTGCCTGATATACGCTATCTTGAAAACTGTTGTTTGATATATATTCTGTTTCTTGTTGTTGAAATCAGGAAGATAAACTAAGCTCTGTGATTCTGTCTTGGCCAGGACCAGAGGTTCATTTGATTTGGCTTTGCTGGAAATGTGTGGTGGCTTAGGAGCACTAAGTTAAAACTATTCTCTGTATCAGTAACATGACTTAGAATTTTCATTCAGCATTTCCTGAATGACTGTCTACACACATCTAATCAAACTTGTGAAAATGAGGTAGCAATGAAATATTCAGTGTGAGCTCTGGCAATATTCCAAAAATAAAAGCTACAAGTTGTAAGAAACCAAGCATCCTTGACTATATCACTGTGACACTGGCAGCATTGTATGAAAGGTAAAGAATTAAGGTTCAGCAGCACTTAGTAAAAAAAGTCAAAAAAATTATATTTGCCTTTCTCACAAAAGAATGTGAATTTCTAGGTTGATTAAAAGCTATCTGAGTCAAAAGATACTGCAAATGTGTTTACAGAAAAACTGCTTCCAAGAGTAGGGGAAGCTGCTTGGGGTGACACCACACAAACACGGGAGCCATTCAAAACTCTGCTGCAGCAAACACAGATAACTGCTTCATAGTTCAAAGAACATGATGTTTGAATGTCCACTGACAATATTTTTCTCTGAACTTCATAGAAAATTCGGTTTGTAAAAATTATATTCAGATGATAGAAAATTGGAGTGAATTAAAAAAAAATTATAGGTGAGGCAAGAATTTTATACATTAGCGTTCATTGTGGATCATCTCTTAATCAACAAGAGCAAGAAACTCAGAAAGAACCCTCCTGTAGTGAGAAAGTGAGAAAACAATGATAATGATTCAAGGTGCAGTGGGTCCTTATATTTAAACTCACAGTTTTAGGATTTTAAAAATGTGTTCTAATTTTACTCCAATAACCTTCAATATTTACCTATTTAATTCATATTGAAAAATGGCATATTTGACAGTTTAACATGGATGTATGAAAATAATACCACTGGCCACTATCAAAGTCAAAAATATCATTTTTCTTGCATATAGCAGAAGAGAAAACCAGACAATATAGAACAGTTTGTGAGTATGTGAGTCTATGTCTCAGCTCATTCAGTAGTTTTAAACTTCTAATAGGTTGTCACTCCAGAGAATCACCACAAATGAAAAGACCAGAATGACTAGAAAATGCTCCTCACCATCCTTCCTATCAGCCTTTCATTTCTTTCTTTTCCTTCTCTGCCCATTCTTTGACCCCCAACTCCTCGCTTTTTCCTTTCCCATTTACCTCTATCCATGCATTTCCAGAGATTTTTTTAGAATCTTTTCAGCAGTGTCTTATCTACTTTCTAAAACCTAGTATGAATAAGTTCAGTTGTTATCGAAGAGGTTACAGATTAGAATGAACAAAGGATGTATTTTAAAAAAGAAAAGTGTGTAACTGAGGAAGACCAACTTACTCCACCTGAAAGACTCTGAGAGTATTTCAACAGAGGAGGTGTCATCTGGGCTGAATTTTAAGGATGCACAGAAATCAGGCATGTGGATAAACAGGATCATTCCAGGCAGTGGGTGTATCACCTGCCAGGTAACTGCTGAAATATCATGAGAACTGAGTTTTAAAGATGATGGAACTGAACTATGTGATTTGTGTGCAAGAACATGGTTCATAAGGAAGGTTGAAACAAGATCAGGAATAAATGGGTTTAGGGCTTGTTTTCCTGGTTGTTCTGTGCCATGTCTGTCTCCATAAACATGTATTAGCAGTGTCTCCTCTCTGACAAGTATTCTACTTTGAACAATAAACTGCCTGGACACCTTCCTCATCGTTCTTTCAGTCTAGAAGGCAGAACTGGATTTCTACGGCAAAGACGCTGCAATAATAAGGCTTCTGTATTCATGTTGCAGTGACATCACTTAGCTATGGAGGTTGAAGTGGTGAGTATGGTTACTTGTCAATCACCACCCAATCTCCTTGTGATGTACACTCATGTACAAGCTGGAGCTACATTTCCAAATGAGTTGGCATTGAAAATTCCACACAAAAATTAAATAGATAAACTCAGGTTGGGATTTGGAATTTAGAAGTAGTATATATGGATGTGGTTATGGAGACACTAGAGGTGAAGGTTTTCTGGAACAGGGTCCTAGGTTGAGTTGCAAGCTGACTGGACCCTGAAAGGGAGGTATATGATCAGTAGCAATGGTTTGCTAGTCTTGGTTAAGCTCCTGAGGGAAAGATGTTGTTCAGAAGCAATACCTTATTCTCCTGTTCTCTATTATAAAATAACAGCACATGGGTGAGCCAATCTGCTCTACCATTCTTTGCAGTCATCCTAGAGCCAAAGACTAGAAGCTACACTTCCAATCCTTCTAAGACTTTAATGTTCATTTAATTCTTTACATTGTATTCTTTCATACTTAAAATAGCTAGTGTGGTTTAAATTTCCTGGAACTGAGTCTCTATCTATCTATCTATCTATCTATCTATCTATCTATCTATCTATCTATCTATCTATCATCTATCTATCAAACTTTCCCTCAAATACACATCCATGCAATAAAAGGTTTGATATTTTTGGTACCTTGTAAGATCGTCTACTTTTAGGATTACGTTTTTGTAATTCTTTACTTATTTCAGTTTCTCAGTGCCTTTTTGGCCTGCATTTTTCAGGGATGTATACAATTTGGCTTGCCGCTTCCTAGATGCCACATCTCTTTACTAAGTGAATATATATAGAAAATATGCCCAAGGACATAGGGTGTATAGAAGATAAAGTAATTCTTATTCATTTACTAAACATATCCTGAGTACCTACTATGTGACAGTCTGTCAAGTAACATTTTATAAACTCTATGAGTTATTCTGAACACTTGTTTAGACAATCCTAGAATTATATGTATTTTTGTCTGGCCTGTAAGTTTAATAAATTCCAGTCCCCAATGTGAGAATGGCTTTTACATGTTTCTTTATTTATAAAATGAAGGAAGGGGAACTGGGATAATGACTCTTACCATATGGACATGCTTTGAACAAATAAATTTTATTTAACCTTCCAACCAAAAGGTTAATCTTATCTTATCTTGTTTATAATGTAGAAAATCTCACTGAGGAATGTGTTCCTATTGTGATCTGAGTATATGTCCTTAATCCCTCAGAACTTGACACAGAGTAATATATGAATGTGTATATATGTTTTATATATCAAAGTACTGCAAAATCACTTATTTAATTGAACAGTATAAGAGAAATTTATAACATCTGTTTAAGGTTGTATGTCTGTTGCTCTAAGTAAGTAGGACTTAGAAACTGCAAAATTCTTCTCTGATAAGATATGGGTCCAACTTTTACTTCCCCATTTCATGGTGGATATATTGTTTCAAGAAAAGAAAGAATGAGTCTTTTGTTATGGAGCACAGTTCTGAGAGAATGCTAAAGGAACAGGTTCTCAGCTATTTAGGTCTATGCTTGGCTTAAAAATGGATGCTAAGAGTAAAGCTGATTTGTTCAGGCATAACTGTAATGTGGCATCATGTGCTAAACACTGTATCACCACCTGTAGAGAATCCACTCTACTCCCCTCAATTTGGGCTTCAGTCAGTAGAGCTTCTTCTTCACAGAAGAATTTAGTATTTATTTTTAATTTTCTAATTGATATTATATGAAACATCATGAACAGATCTCATCTCCTAGATATAGTGCTAGGTAAAAACACCTAAATGAAAGGTAAATACTATGTTATTTATTTTATATACTACATATGTTAAGGTCTTAAGATCTGAGAGCTTCCTCTAAATCCACTACACATCAACAAAAGTTATAAGAAAACAATAAACCTTACCAAGTCCAATCAAGACTTCCTTTCCTTTCTTTATAGACTATTCTCCATATTTCTAACCTATTCTTTCTTCGACAGAGAGGCTCATCACACATTCTCTACACTCAGGACATCTTCAACTCTACCATTCATTCTTCTCTGCTTCCCAGAGGATTCTTTGGGATGGTCCTTTGAAATATCCTGTTCTCCTCACCCAGTGGCTGAGAACCACTCAAGGCTCTTTGCTTTTTATAAACAGTCCCTCAGACAAACCCTTCTGTCATAGAGCGCTAATGCACACTTTATCCTTAAAGGACATTTATTTCTGCACTGACATTCCAGAGTCTTTTCAAAGCATTACTTTATCCCTGTGTAATACTTCCTCCCAACCTGTACTCCTCTGGGCAATCAGAATCTGAAGCCACTTTTACTTTGCTTTACTCCTCATATCAATACCAAATTCTGAGAATTTGTTGAGATACCCCATTCTTAGACTTGCCATTACATCAGTACTTCTCCATTCAGCATCATATCCCAGGTGCTGAATGGTGAAATGTGTGTGGTTTTTTTTTTTTTTTTAATTTTCTGCCTTCTGTGTCTATCTTTAAGCTGTCTTTTTTTATATGTTACTCCAAACACTTTTGGTAATGAAAATTTTCCTTTTTTATTAGGCCTACATATTTTGGAATTGGCCAAGGGCCAAACATTTAATCACCTAATATTTTCTATTTTCTATATTATTTCCTATTTCATTATTTCTTTAGAATATTTTATTTAACTACTTTTCTTTATAGTGTATATCTTATTAGCCTACAAAATTGTGTGCCTGAATAAAATAATATCCTCTAAAAATATTTGAAGGAATTATTCAAAATCTTCACTGTTCTATGACACAGACCTATTTTACCTCACCTAATTCTGATTAGCATTCCAGAGCATGTATGACTAAAGTTTTTAAAGTTAAAACTTAAGCTCCAAATTTCAAGGGCAAATTCATGTTATGTTTTTCATTTTATTCATTAGATATGAAAGTAAGTTCTAGGTAGAGCAAAGAACAATCTCAATTAAAATTGCCACAGCACATAGCATCATAAAACAGGGCTAAATTTTATGTGCTAGAGAATATTTATTGCAATACAGTGATCCTCAAATGAGGGACCTGTGATATATGAGCTGTTCACTTATGTGCATGTTTGATGAGTGTGTACGTGCATTTGTATGTAAGTCAATGTGAGTGTGTACATGCCATGACTTGCAGGCAAAGTAAGAGGACAACCTCAGTTAGAAGTTCATGCCTTCCACCTCACTGGTGACAAGACATGTCTGCTGCTTCTTCAGGTCAGACATCAGAGCAGCTGTCCTGCAAACTTCTGAGGAGTCTCCTATCTCTGCCTCCCATCTCCTCATAGAAATGCTGGGATCACAGGTGCTTAAGTACACAGCCAGCTTTTTGTGTGTGTTCTGGGGATTCAAACTCAGGTCCTCAAGGTTCATGTTTACCCATTCAGGCATCTTCCAGTCCTGAATTTATGTATTTTTTTTCCTGTTTTGGATTTCTCTATTAATTCCATCATACATTTGACACAGAGACAGAAATAAATGCTCCTGGCATGCAGAATATATTGGGATTAAAAACTAAACAACAAAAAAAACCCAACCTAATGACCAAGTCCATTTTTTAAATACAAAAATATACTTTAAAAGTAATCTAATGATCTTAATATATAGTACATGATCAATAAATGTTCTTTAAGCAAAGAAATGAGTAAATAAATCTGTGAGTCATGTAGGTTAACAGAAAATGGGGACGTAAATAGATCACAATGGCTTAATGTGCAAAATGTGGAAAAATTAAAGTCTACTTAGGTAATTGTCACTGAGGTTTCCAACAATAATTGAAGTAATATTATCAAAGAAAAACTAGCAATATCCTGAAAGAGAGGTGGAAGGAATGTAAGAGCTGGAGGATGGAGTGAAGTGTTGTAGGATACTGTGTTCCAGGCATAACAGGGCAGTTGCCCTTTTAAACTCATAGCAGCTATGATTACCTACACAAGATGGACCTGGGCCCACCAATGTTCTGTCTGGAATCGGGGAGGGCCACATTAGGCCACACCCTTACCCAAAGAGCTATCGTTAGTTAATGGCTGCTAGAAAAGGGGCAACATTTTCTTCAGTAGGATAGCCACTGGTAAGCTACCTGTGGCCCTCAATACCTACCCACCCATACTCATGGCAAACAATTCTAATCAAGCTCATTGGGTAACAGAAAAAAGAAAATAAAGAAAAACATCTGAGTAGCAGGAGGACAAGTTAAGAGAAAGAAGGAGCTTGCTCAGCAGTAGCAAGACAGAGACAGTTGAGGGTAATGTGGTGAATATACTCAATACATCATATACATGTATAAAATAGCATAACAAAACCATTATTATGTACAACATATGCTAATAAAAATTAAAAGAAAAACCCAGAGACAAATTATACATCCAAGAATAGGCACAGTTACATAAATGATATACTATGAACAGAGTCATACACTATTATATAGCTTGTGCCTCCCTAATTGGAAAATCTAAACCTGAGGCTTTTAGAGACATTTTGGATATTAGATTTTTGGGTTAGAGCTTGAGACATTTGTCTCAGAAAATCTGTACAAATATTTCAAAGTCTGAAAACATCCCAAATTTGAGACTTTCCTGGTCTCAAGCATTTTGGATGAAGGATACGCAACCTTATCGCATAGTATTATATTATTCCTCATTACTCATTGATTCTTCATTGTGACTTTTCCTACTCACTAAAATTTATAAATCTCAACCCATTTGAAGTCCTACACAGACAAGAAAACAAAGTAAAAGATTTATGATGTATAAGAAAAAAAGAAATAATAATGTTAGTATGTTCAGATGCATAATTGCTTGTGTGGAAATTCAAAATAATCTAACAGATTAAATGTTATAATTACCAAATACATTGATGAAATATACTGAGCACAAAGCAATAAATAAA